ACTCACAGAGATCCCCCTGCCTCTGCCTCCAGAGTGCTGAAATTAAAGGCATGTGTCACTACCACCTGGCTAAAAATGTATAGCCCAGGCTGGCCTCTAACTCATGATCCTCCTGTCTCTGCGTCCTTCAGCAAATCCTACTGGTGTGCATCACCACTACTGGTGATGTGTGTCTTCTTTCTGATAACCATCAGAGACCCTAAACGCAGGGTTTCTGAGGCCTCTCGGAAGAAGTGGACAGTGAGTGCTTCAGATACTCACCTGCCTAATCCCCAGGCTGGTCTCCGTAAAGAAGAGCCAGCTGCGGACCTGGCATTGGAGCAGCACCAAAGATGCTCAGGGTGAGCAGGGGAATGAACCGGAGCTGAAAGAGCTGGCTGGAGAGGGAGCTAGTGTGTGCCCTAGGGAAACCATATGTCAGAAGTGAACTTCCTGCAAGCACAGGTAAACATGGGTCCACAGTGGACACCACTCCGCCTGCCCTAACTACAGACCAGAATGCTCATCTGTGGGGTCATGGATGGGGCATGAAGACAGTGGTCCCCAAACTGTGTCTTCCTAAAATGTATTCTTCAGCCAGCCTCCTAGAGTGAAGTATCTTCCTGATCTCAGAGCGGGGTAAAGATACGAAAAATATGGTTCGTCTTTGTAAGATTGTGCCCTGCCTTTGGTGTTGGCTTTCACTCTCCCACACTCGCCCACACTTGGCCTAATTTGCAGTGCACTGACGCTCACAGCATCACTGGGAATAAAGAGCCGGTTAGTTCCGGGTGGCCAGCAGCCTACTCAAGTTTGGAATCGCCACTGCAGCACAGGACAGGCCAGCACATAGGATGCTGTCGTGCCATTTTCCTGCGACCCTGAGTTTGACCAGCAGGATGCGCACAACCAGACACTAAATCGTGGCAGTGCAGTGCGCAGAACCCTGGGCTTTGGGGGTGGGAGAAACTGCATCTCCTTACCCTGCTCACCGCCTGGACTGGCTTCTGTGAGCTGCTGTAAATGTAACACGTGTTTTGTAAACTCGGGTCATAATTTCAGTCAGGCTTTATGGAAGAGTTTCAATTTTGCAGTCAACCCCCATTCTCTTGCAATTAATCAGTCTCCATTAAATGCTGAGGTGAGCTGCTGTTTGTCAAAACACGAAGGTGGTTGTGTCTGCCTACAACTTGCCTTTCCCTGATATGACTGTTGTTTAAAATGTCCTCATAACATCACCTGGGGGTTATTTGCCAAAGACAGAAGTTATAATTTTTTTCCTTACTCTAAGTTATAAAAGAATCAAGTTCTGTTTTTTAACCAATAGTCACTGTCTCCCTCATTCTTCTTCCCCTTCTTCTTCCTCTTGCTCCTCCTCTTTTTCTCCTCCTCCCTCTTCCCCTTCCTTTTCAGCCAAATTCCACTGAGGATGAAATATCCTGGAAGGTTCTTTGGGGTGCTACAGAAACAATCTTTTCATATTTATGAATGAGAGGCTTCAGGGACTCTGTGATAGGCTCATTTTCTCTCAGGTTTAGGTAACTTCCTGCTCTTTGCACACAGACCCCTACCAGGTATTTGGCTAAGGGGAATCTCTCACAGTGCCTTAGCGGCCAGCATCCTTGCTCTTCTATAGGATTTGATTTAAGAATTGAGGTGCTGGCTCTATGAGGGCCTCTTTATTTAGGTTGGGTTTCCTTTCTGAGAAGAAGCCATCCTTTTCTGCCAACGGTGCACACCCGCTGGGTCCTAGTGCCTAGCAAGTCCCCTGCCGATTGTTCTCTTTCTATCAGGACACAGAATGGAACTAAAAAGGCTTTCTGTTCTCCCTTGGACTAAATAAAGTCCATGAGAGTGTAATTGAGGCTAGGTAATGAGGGGGGATACTGCTGATCCTTGCTTTTGTTAAGTGGGCCTGTCTTACACATTTGCACAGTAGGATGAAGAATTGGTTGATGGACTCAATGTAAGATAACAGTGACATCAACAGCACGCCCCGAGTTAGCAAACGCCGAGTTATGGCTTTGCCCAGAGCCAGGTACCCTACTGAAACAGGTAGCCCAGTTATTTATATTCAGTGCTAAGTCACACAGTTTTCGTGTTTGAATTCCCAAGCACCTCTGCCGTAACCTCTGTCTCATCATTGTTCTATGGCATTTAGGACTTGGCTTGTGCCTACTGACTTGCAAGAGAAGGTCAAGGCCTGAAACCAGTCTGTCTCAGTGTAGATCCTGGTCTACCTTCAGTTAGCTGTGACCTTGACACATCACTGCTTTCTCTAGGTGTCAGCTTCCACATCTGTAAAATTAGGACCATCCGAGACCATCCCAGACCATCACTGACCATTGTGTGTTTGTGTTTGCATGCGTGGCCATGTGTTTGTTGATATGCTCAGAATCATCCAAATGTCCCCTAACAAAGCAAGCAGCCTGTCTTAGTGAGGGCTTCTTTTTGATGATAAAACACCAATACCAAAAGCAACTTGGGGAGGAATAGGTTTGTTTGGCTTAAGTATCCTTGATCATAGTTCACCGAGGAACTCAAAAGTAGGAACTCAAACTGAGCAGGAACCTGGAGGCAAGAGCTTATATGTAATGGCCAGGGAAGAAGGCTGCTTATTGGCTTGTTCTCCATAACTTGCTCAGCCTGTTTTCTTATATATCCCAGAACTGCCAGCCCTGGGTGGTACCACCTACATGGGCTGGGCTCTCTCTTATGGTTCACTGATAAAGAAAATGCCCTACAGGTTTGCATACAACCCAGTCTTACAGAGGCATTTTCTCAGTTGAGGTTCCCTCCTCTCACATGAGTCTACCATGTCTCATTGACATAACAACTAGCTAGCACACGGCCATTCTAAGCTACAAGGGTCCTGTGCCTCCTGAAGTCTGCTGCATCTTGGTGCCTTAGCACGTGTCATCTCGTTTCCATTATTCCTTCATCCTCTGGGCGGTGGGTTGAATGATAATGGCTCCCATAGAACCATATGTTTGAAAATTGGCTCCTAATTGATTGAGAGATGTGAGCTTGCTGGAGGAGGCGTGTCACTGGGTGGGGGCTCTGAGGTTCAACAGCCTCAAAAGAATTCGTTCCAAGATAGCATGAGAGTTCCCCAACCACTCACCCCTGCCTCCAACGTTTAGATCAAAATGTGAGCTCTTAGATATTTTGCCAACATTCCTCTACTCTGACATCGTGAACTTTAACCTTTTGAAACCGTAAGCCCCAAATCAAACACACTTAGGATGTGCCTTGGTCATGGTGATTTATCACAGCAATAGAAATCCCAACTAAGACATTCAGTTGGAAAAATATCCTCTGTCTTGCTAGGTTCAGGTAAAATATCCCCACATCAGCAACCTTTCTGTAGTGGCACCCTCTTTCTGTCTCTTTGCCATCTCAGTTTCCTTGAACTATGATCTACCATATGATTTACTCGTTAGCCATTTGACCTTACTGAGTGTTTATTATATTACTGGATATACACCAAATGTTGGCTAACACATTTGTTTGTATTCATCTTTTGGATCTGGAAAACTGCTTAACCAGGACACAGTGGGTGCCCTACAAACGTGTAAGTGGACATATTTTACAGTCAGAATATGTACATTCAAATAATAAGCTCATAATAACTTAATCTTCTCATAGTCATAATGCTATAATAAATTTGCTGTCAAACCTTTTTTAGGAAAGACAGAGAAACCAGAAGAATGAAGATCAAAGGTACCTACTGTAGCCAGACTTCAAGAGCTAAAGACTAAGGTGGGCATTTATCCATGTGGCTTTACAGTCTAAGCTCTTAGCTATAGCATTGCACTGCTGACCCCCACCTCCAAAACACACACCAACTCTTCTGTGAGGAAATTAAAATAGGTGGGGAGAGCTGATATTTGACCTTGGGTCTACCTCCACAGACACTGTTGCAATTCATGACAGCTTCATTTTTGTAATTCTGTAATTGTGTACATTTGTGTACTTGTGTGTGTGTGTCATATAAGTGTGTATGTGTGCATTTGTTTGTATGTGCCTGTGCATGTGGAAGGCAGAGGTTAATCTTGGGTGTCATACTTCAGGCTCCATCAACCTTGTCTCTTTGAGACAGGGTCTCTCCTTGGCATGGAGCTGCAGAGTAGGCTACACTGACTAGCCAGCAAGTCCCAGGGACCCCCACCAACTATGCTTTCCCAGGGTGAGGTTGCAAGCGTGTGCCACTCTGCCAGGGCTCTTTATGTGGGCTCTGGGGATTGAACTCAGGTCCCTGTGCCTGAGAGGAAAACACTTCAGCACAGGAACCATCTCTCCAGTCCCAAATATGGAATTTAAAAAAGGTACAGTGCTGTTTTTTTTTAGATCTTCACACTTTCAGTTTTTCCAGTAAATTAAGGAAATTCTGGTAAGAAACAAATAAAATAACAATTGGCAACATTGGAAGAGAATGGTTCTGAATCAGACAATCATGTCTTGGACCCAGCTAGGTCACCGGACCTGCGGCCAGGCTTAGGTTGCACAAGTTCTGGTTTTATTGTCTTCTGTAAACCAAAGGTAATAAGAAACATGGGCAGCGTTGTGAGGGCTTTAGCGGTGGTATTGTGCTGACACACAGAGACCTTGATTGATGCCAAATCTCTACTCTCAAGTCCCCGAAGATGATTGCGACCTCCCCACCCCCACCATGATCTGCTAAACAGCAACCACAACAAACTTTTCCATAGAGACATGGCTTTTTCCGTCTTTATTCTCATTCTCGTGAAATCCTTTATTCTCATTCTCGAAAAAATTGGGCTTCAGTGTGATTATTATTTAGGTGCTTTATACTCACGTCCCTGGAATTTAGTATCTTCTCCACAGTCTCTTTTGAGATTAAAGAGAAAGGAAGCAGCGACAATGACACATTTAGGCTGTTAGAGCTATCTTCACCAGTTGACCGGTATTTTTATTCATGTTTTCTCTTTTCCTTGATCAGCTAGCTTATTTTCGTTGGACTTCCATGGCCCAAAGGTCCTCTTCCATCTTCTTGCAAGATGAAAAAAACCATAAATGAGCCACTGGATGGTCTAGTCAATGAATCTGATTTCCTAGACTACGTAGCTGTTTTGGAAAACTGCACTGATGAGCAGCAAATCTTATTCAAGATGCAGTACCTCCCTGCGATCTACAGCATCATCTTCCTTGTGGGCTTCCCGGGGAACACGGTGGCGATTTCCATCTACATTTTCAAGATGCGACCCTGGAAAAGCAGTACTGTCATCCTGCTGAACTTGGCCTTGACTGACCTGCTGTACCTGACGAGCCTTCCTTTCCTCATCCATTACTACGCGAGCGGTGAACACTGGGTCTTCGGGGACTTCATGTGCAAGTTCATCCGCTTCGGCTTCCACTTCAACCTCTACAGCAGCATCCTCTTCCTCACCTGCTTCAGCATCTTCCGTTACGTTGTCATCATTCACCCAATGAGCTGTTTTTCTATTCAGAAAACGCGGTGGGCGGTGGTAGCTTGTGCGGGGGTGTGGGTCATCTCTTTGGTCGCTGTCATGCCTATCACTTTCCTGATCACATCAACCACCAGGACCAACAGGTCTGCTTGTCTTGACCTCACCAGTTCAGATGACCTCACTACTATCAAATGGTACAATCTCGTTTTGACTGCCACCACTTTCTGCTTGCCCTTGGTGATAGTGACGCTTTGCTACACAACAATTATCAGCACCCTGACTCATGGGCCTCAGACCCACAGCTGCTTTAAGCAGAAGGCCCGGAGATTGACCATCCTGCTGCTCCTAGTGTTCTATATATGTTTTTTACCCTTCCACATCCTGAGGGTCATTCGGATTGAATCTCGCCTGCTTTCCATCAGCTGCTCCATCGAGAGTCACATTCACGAAGCTTACATTGTTTCTAGACCATTAGCGGCCCTCAACACCTTTGGAAACCTGCTGCTGTATGCCGTGGTCAGCAATAACTTCCAGCAGGCATTCTGCTCCATAGTGAGTTGCAGAGCCAGTGGAGACCTTGACCAAGAAAAGAAAGACAGTTGCTCAAACAACCCTTGAGTCGGGTCAATTAGTGAAGGCTAGGGAGATGTCTCAGCAGGTACAGGTACAGCTCTTGACATGCAAATGTTGGGATCTGAAATAGAATCCCCATAATCTACTTAAATTGGCAGTGGTAGCAAGCACCTGAAATCCCAGGATTCCTGTGGTGAGATGGAAATGGGGCAGGAGAATTCCTAGAGGCTCAAGGGCCAGCTAGTCAACTGTATACTGGGACTAACCTCAAAGAGACCTTGTTTCCAACAAGATAGAAGGCAGGGCTGATGGTTACACATGTGCACTGTGTCATGTATTTACCCCCCCCCCCCCCACAAATGGGAACATATCAATCACACATACACACACTCATCAAATATTGATCAGTCAATCAATAAATCAGTCAATCAGTGCCTCCTGATAATTTGTATATAACTTCTAAGAGGTCTCCCCTCGGTGGAACACCTAGTAACTACAGTATATTCAGGTCATAATGAGCCAAAGCCATGGGCAGGACTCTTAGGAGATCTTTGCAATATTTTTATTTAGATCTTTGGGTAGAGAATGAGATACACGAGCGTCGGTAAAGGATTTATGGGATTAGAAACTATGAAACTAGGAGAACCTCTGTTGCCACCACTTAGTGGCTCCACGTGGAAACTGCCGTTGGTCCAACAGCCCTGGACCTCCCAGAGCTTTAGTGTGAGGATGGAACACCAAAGGAAGCCAAGGGTCTCCTTTCACACCTCGCTGCCTGACTTTCGTACTTTGGGGCCGATGTGTACTGAAATCCTAGATTATACAAAGCATGGCTTGTGCCTTCCTCAATACTTCACATCTTGGGTATTTATGACTGCCTTTCCTTTAATTTATTCCTTGAGATTATTGCTCTTCGTTCTGCCTTTCAGTTCTAGCTAGGTCTTTAGATGGAAGGGAGACATGAGGACACATTTGGAACAGGCCCCGGTACCCAGCTCAGTCGGTGAGTGCCTGCTGCACATGCCTGAAGGCTTGAGCTTGGTCCCTAGAACCTACAGGTAAAAGCCGGGTGCTGAGGCATGCGCTTGGAATCCCAGCTCCCTGGGGCCTGCTGGCCAGCCAGCCTAACCTCTTTGGTGAGTCCTGGCACAATGAGAGATCTGAATTCAAAAACTGCAGTACATTGCTCGTGGTGAGCCAGAACAAGGCTGTCCTTTGGCCTCTGTTTTCTCTGTTGAGGTGACCTTAGTGGTTGTTGAATTTAGAAATCACATTAAGTTTTATTGGGAATTGCCAACACATCCCGGGGAAAGAGGAGACAAGCAGAAGAAACAGAAATTCTTTCAGATATCATGTAGGTACCAAGTCAAATCTAATGCGGCATTGGTTTCTAGGGAGATTTCTCCAGGAGACACTGACCTTGATCTTTGAGAACGATAGTTGAAAATAATGCCTGCAGAAACAGTGAAAGTTATTCTTGGATTATGTGTATTTTTAATTATCAGTAAACATAAATATTTGAGAAAATACCTGTGCTACATATTTTAAATCCCAATGAATGTGTTGATATAATAATAAACTTTAAAAAACCATTCTCTGAAATGTTTTTTTCCCCATGAAATTGCTATTTATTCATTATTTTATTGATGACAAAGTTATTTTCTCCATGGTTAGAGAGCAAGAGGACGTTTGAAGATCGAATGTAGAGTATGGCTGGAAGACAGGGCTTCTGCATAGGAAAGGGACATCAGATCCCATGGACCTTGGGCTTTCTGGCACAGCAAGTCTGAGCTAGACCAAGGAGATGTTCATCCAGCTCCTGTGCTGGGCAAGTGGGATGGGATGGGGAGGAAAGAAGGCCCAGGGTCCTAACGTGAACTGCTCTGTGATAGCACCCCCATTGCTGTCACTTTTGAGCCATTCTCTTGCAGGCTTTTCTATAACTCTTGGAATAAGCTATTTCGATAGAAGCCCTCACTTAGCTCTTCACGGTGACTGCATAGCTTGGAGTAGTGACCAGCAGTCCACTGGGAACCACACAGGCTTCTGCCTCTGCTCTTGGTCCCCTAGCGCCAGCCTGGCTGCTGGACCACCTCTAACATGCAGCTATGTGATGGTTGTTAGTTTCCCACTTTTTAAATTTTTCAGTTGATTAGCGAGCCGCATCAGGATGGTTTTTAGGATAAGAGTTGAGTGGAACCCATCAAAAGCTGTTTCTAACCCTGGACACTTTAGACTCCTTCCCTTCCTCTCCATCTTCATTCTTCTTTATGTCGAAGATCTCTTCCAGAGGGAGAAGCAACCTTATCTCCATTCATGCTTGTTTTCAGACACACGTGCACACACACACACACACACACACACACACACACAAAACACATTAATTTCTTTGGTCCCTTTCTTCCTTCCATCCAACCAAAGTACAGGAAAATAAATAATTTTTTTTCGGTTACAGATTAGCCCACTGTATCTGTGGCCTTATTTTGTTATTTTAGGTACCCAACTCCAACACTTAATCCCGCTCTCTCCAATTTTTAACATTCTCATTTCCCTGGATAATTGATCTCTGCTCTAGGGCATGCATGATTTTCCATTCTTTCGACAACATGTTGTGTGATCCTGCTTCCTGCCCCTCTCTCATCTGACCTGCTTCCCCAGGGACGAGCAGATGCTGATGGCTGTCTGCCCTCGCAGGCCCTGCTGATTGAACATAATCACAAAGATCCAAGCTAAATTGAACTAAAGGGTTATTTTTATTTTCCAAAGCATAGAGTTATGGAATAATTGGGCTAGAGGTTGCGTTTTGAACTGAAGCCTCTCCTTGCAAAGTGACAGAGGATGATATACAGGTTCCAGGCTACTGGGGACCCTCAAGACCTCGTCGCTTACAGACATCCGTGGACAGAGGAAAGGTAAGAACAGAGAGTAGGGATCAAACTGTGGGCACTGCAAGAAAACAGCCCTATGCCTGCTCAACATGAGAAGCAGAGCATTCAAGTCCAGCTGCTCCCAAGAAAACCCAGAGAAAAGCTACTGTGATCCTCGAGACACAATAGCACCCCACTTTGATTGTGACTATGGCTCACAGAAATGTTCAGACTCACAACTTCAGAGAAAAGAACAAAATGACGATGTACCCTAAACATACACTTCACAGTGATTAATACCCCACCATGCTTCTTTATATCTGACGCTGCCTTAGCAGGTGCATTCAGATTTCGAAAGAATATTTAAGGGCACGTTCTGGACAACATACAGTTTCACCTATATGTCCTTTAATAGTTGTGTCTTACAAGGCCTAATATAAGCCTTTCTTTTAAAAGTAAGTGGTAGAAGCTGGGCATGGCGGTACCTATCTTTAGTTCCTGCACCTTTTATCTCAGGCAGAGGCAGATGGATTTCTGAGTTTGAGTCTAGCCCAGACTCCACAGTAGGTTCCAGGTCAAGCAAAGCTACATATATCTGTATCTATCTATATCTATATCATCTATACCTATACCTACACCTATACATCTATATCTATATCATCTATACCTATACTTATACATCTATCTCTATCTTTACCTGTACCTATCTCTCTCTCTCTCTCTCTCTATCTCTCTCTCTATCTCTATCTCTATCTCTATCTCTATATCTATTGACATACTGACAGCTCTCTCTCTATACACACACACACATTTAGTTAATTAGTTACTGATAGAGAATTGCCTGTCATAGCTGAGGCCCTGGGTTCCATCTCAAGACAATAAATAAGTTCTAATTTTATTTATTGCCAATCCATATTTTAGTCAAAAGTATGTTTTACTGTTCCTAACCCAAATAAAATTCAGAATGCAAACAAGCTCTAAATATATGTTTGACAGTCTCTTTATTTATTTATTTGTGTGTGTGTGTGTGTGTGTGTGTGTGTTTGACTCATTTGCGCAGATGCTCCTGGAAGCCAGAAGCTATTAGTTCTCCTGAAGGCAGGAGTTACGCACAGCTGTGAGACACTTGGGTTGGGGTGCTAGGAACTGAACTCAGGTCTGCTGGAGATCAGGAAGTTCCCTTAGCCACTGCACTTCCGCCAGCCCCTCTTGAATTCATTTAACCAGTTTCTCACTCTATGCTTCCCTAGGGCTGCAGAGATGGCTCAGTGGTTACAAAGCCTTCCTGCTCTGGCAGAGGAGCCAGAGTTGGTTCCGAGCATCAACGTGGTGGCCCCCACTCCCTGTAACTCTCACTCTCGGGACTATGGCATTCTCTCCTGGCTTGTCCAGACTTTGCAGGAGAAAACATACACAAGCTGCACACCAATAGCAAATGAATAGTTTCTCCTCCCTTTATAACTATGTCTTTAATAAAGATATCATCTCACGTGTCCCACAGGGAATTCCACACTCAGCGCCTGTTTTGAATTCCTGCTTCTCCATTCCTTTCTGTTGTCATTTAGAAAACAGAGTTTGAAGTTAGGTTAGACACAGTCTCTCGCTATCCCTTTCCTCCTCCATCCCCTCCCTCCCCTCCCCGTCTCTGTTTTCCATTTATGGGGATCCCTATCCAGTACCCATCACAGAAGCTGTGCAGTCTGACTGCCAACTGGGCAGGGGCTCAGGATGTACCATGCTAACACTTCAAGCCTAAATACCTTTGCCTTTATTGATTTATGTCTACTTTTATTGGTTGTTTGATTCACTGGTTGATTTTTTTGTAGTAAGCTTTGTTGTTAGCCACTAACTCACAAATAACGACAGGAAGACCTATTATTAATTATGAAAGCGTGGTCTTAGCTTAGGCTTATCCCACTAGCTCTTACAACTTAAATTATCGCATTTATATTAATCTATATTTTCCCTTACAGTTTTTCACCTTTCTTTTATTCTGTATATCTGACTTCCTCCATGCCTCCTTGGCATCTGATGTATGTCTAGATTCACCTCTTACTTCCTTCCCCTCTATCCAGAAGTCCCGTCTATACCTCCTGCCTTGCTATTGGCCAATTAGCTCTTTATTAAACCAATCACAGTAACATATCTTCACACAGTGGGATACATATATCCCACATC